GGGTACTTTGTCTACATGTATATCTGTACACCAAAAGAAGGCATCAGACAATTGTGAGCTGTCATGTGGGTGCTGGGAATTGAACTCAGGCTCTTTGGAAGAGTAGTGAGTACTCTTAACCATTGAACCATCTTTCCAGCCCTGATTTTGTTTCTTGAGACAAGGTCTCACTAAACGGCCCAGGCTCTTTCAAACACACAGCAAATCCTCCTGCCTTATCCTCCCGACTGCTGAGATTACGAATGTGCGCCACCATGCCCTTAATTTATATTCATTCACACGCTTGTGTTCACCCTCACGGACTTGTTCTCAGGGCTGCCAGCTCAACACTGGCCACAGGCTGGTGGGTACAAGAATTCTGCACCAAGGGGTAGCCACAGCCAACTCCTGGGTCCACCCACAGGCTCAGCAAGTACCCTCCTCTGGGCTTCACTGGCTCTGCTTTCTCTGCCCTACATGTCCCTCTGTTTGATCAGTCCCTCTAATCCTTCAAAAACACCCCCTGAAGGGAACCTTCCTTGATGCTTCAGCAGAAACATCTCTCCACCCACTCCCGCCCCTGTGTTTCCCTTGCAACTTTTTAGCACCTCAGTCGGCCTGCTCTCACTCTGGGTTCTTCCCAAGAGAGGCCCCCGAGCCCCGAGAGGGCAGTAATATTGGCTCATTTGCTTTTGTGACCCTTCCAATGTCCACTTCAGAGCACTAGATCTGGAATGAGCCATATTGATACCGTGGGTATTGCAGGCTACTCTGCACAAATCAATCTTCACAGGAGCCAGGCAAAACCAGGGTCTTGTGGCTGCTTTTCAAGCTTCACATACACTCCATAGAAAGACCTGGGAGCCAGGGACTATTGCATAATTCCTGGCACAGATGTTCTCTAAGACTCACATTTAGACACTGTCTCTAGGAACTGATGTCCTGACCACTAGCCCCAGGAGCATGGCCTATTGGAGGGTTGAACAAGCCCATGACAGATCTCAGGACTCATTTTGCCCACTTTGGGCAGACAGATGCTCCAGACCACTGGAGTAGACAGATTTCCCAAGGTGCCTGAAGATCCACCCTCCAGCAGTACTTCCCAGAGTTTTATCTAGTACATCATAACCAATCAAGGTAATATAGTAAGTTCCAGGACAGTCCAGGCTACAGAGTAAGACTCTGTGCCAAAGGCAAAACAAACAGACAAACACCACAAAAACCAATACAGATTCTAGAACCCTTCCCGAATCATAGCTGCTGAAGTGGAGCCCAGGGATCAGAAGCGACAATGGGTCGATCCTCTGGTATAATCTTGATTATGGGACTGACAGCCATACTGCTCAGTTCACATTCTGGCATTTCCAATCACTACTCTTCCAACAAGTCCCTGACCTTTGCCAAGTCTGTCTTCTGGTCTGTAAAATAGAGGGGACACCGGTCTTGTTGGGTTGCTGGAGGAGTTCAGTGTGATCATGAAAGTGCAGGACCCAGCATGCTGCTTTGTAGACTCAACAGTGTGGACCGTTAGGATCACAGCGGCCTTCTCCTGACCCACTTTCAAGTGAGGGGCAGAGTGCTGATGTTCTGTTTCAAGGAGGAGTCCTGTTGAAGGTTTTCTGGACAGCAGGAAGCCTTGGTCTAGAGGGGCCCTCACCCAGCAAGCCCTGCCACCTAGCGGCTGTTACGTGGGAACAGACCTAGCCCTGGGGCCTCCACTCGGCCGAGCCTTTTCTCTGCCTTCCACCCGCGGGCAGCCTCCCTTCCTGCCCCATTGCCCTGGAAGTCCAGCTGGCTTAGCATCAGCCCTGGCACCTCCCACCAGTTTAGTAATGAAATTGGAGGCTCACATCAGCTTTCCCTGGCAGGGAGGTCGCCTGGCCCAGAAGCAAGGGGAAGGGAGGAAGCCTGAGGAAGCCAGCAGGAGCTGTCTCAGTGATCACGGTGTGTAGTCTTGAATTCTCAAGGAATCTGTTTCACTCTTTTGTGATTGATTCCCATTTGGTATTTTATGACTTTTTTCTCCAGGTTGTTTTTTTTTTTGTTGTTGTTGTTGTTGTTTTTGTTTTTGTCTGTCTCCCAGTAGAATTTAAGCTCCTTGTGGGCCAAACTTGTCTGCTAAAATTCTTAACAGGACAGATGATGTCAATATTTATGTCTACATCTATACCCAGATCAATATCATAGACTCTGGGGCTTACACCCAGGCCTTCACGAATGCTGGGCAGTCACTGTACTCCTGAGCTATAAGCCCAATCCTACTGTCTCCACTCAGAACAGTCAGCACATAGAGGGTCACCCGGTTAGTGAGTGGTAGAATGGGGATTCAAGGGTAAGTCTGTCTGATGGTCAAGACCTCACGTTCGGAGTCTCAACCATCTACAGAGCTTATTTCATTTGAGAAGATGAGGACACAGGGGCTTTGAGCCATGCAGTTCAGCTTCGGTAGCAACAATGGTGTGCCAGGAGACATTTATGAGAGTTTAGGAATGTTCTCTGTCAGGACTGTAGCAGGCAAATCCTGCTGGGCTGACTCCTGCCTACTTGACGCTCCCAGGCCAGTTAAATAGAGATGCATATTTTCATCTCTCCACTGTAATACTGACTATCCAAAGATCTATACAAGAGTACAAAGTGCTTTAAGGCACTGTCATAGTCAGCTTGAGCTGATGTAACAAAATATCATAGACTGGGACACTTAAATGACAGAAATTTATCTCTCCAATCCTGGAGCCTAGATGTCCAAGATCAGGGTGCCAGCCAGTTTGGTTCTGGTGAGGGGACTCTTCCTGGTTTGTAGATGGCCAGCTTCTTGCTGTATCCTTTCTCAATGAACAGAGAAACCATTTCTCTCAAATACGTTTTGTTAGGTGCTGAGGGTCAAACCACGTTTGCACATGACAGGCAAGCACTGTATCTCTGAGCCCCATCCCTCAAATAGCTTCTTTGTACAGCCACTGATGCCGCCATAAAGGCTACACCTTGGTGGCCTAATTACTTCCCAAGTACTCTCCTAATGTGACCACATTCAGGACTGTCATTATATGAATTTTGAGGAGACCCAGACATTTAGTCCATAGCAAGTACTGACTATAGGTAGTTTAGGAGTCAGGATCGGAGCCCTAGGAAGGCAAAAAGCACCATCAGGAAAGAGATTTAGGCAGAGAAAGTGACAGAAACTAAGAAAACCAGACAGGGCCTCTTGGAGGACTGGTAAGGGTTCCAGGTTTTTCGTTTGTTTTGAGACAGAATTTCATTATGTGATCCTTTCTACTCTGGAACTTGCTGTGTAGAACAGGCTAGCCACATACTCACAAAGATATGGTTGCCTCCTGAGTGTTGTGATTAAGGGCTCCAAATTGGAGGATCTCAAATGTACTGATATGTGACATGTGAAAAGAAGGTGAGACCAAAGAAGGCCTAAGAGCTTAGAAAAAGATGATCATCTATGTTGGGGACTTTGCAAAAAGTGTATAAAGTGCTTCTAGTCTGTTCTTTGACTCTGATCCATTCTGCCCAGGCCTGTGCTGTGTAGATGGATTTGAACAAGGCACTTCATACCTTCAAGGCTTACTTTCCTCCTCTCTGACAATTGGGCCCAAATTACATACATGAAAACGCTGTGTCTAACTTTTGGTCCTTAGTTCTTCCTCTGCAAAATGGGGAGAAGTCCTGTCCAGCCTAACTGGGGGAAGGGTGCTGTGGATATATTTGTGTGAGAGCAATGGCCAGACTAGTGAATCTCTGCTGAGTGCTTTGTTCCCCTGACACCATTGTTTTTTTTTTTTTTTTTTTTTCTTTGCTTTGTTTTGAGACAGGGTCTTCTGTAGCCTGGGCTGGCTAAGGATAACCTTGAACTTCTGATCCTCCAGCTTTCACCCTGTGTGTTGAAGTTCAGGTATAAACCACCAGGGTAGGAATATGTGGTCCTGGGAATGAACCTAGAGTTTCACGAATGTTAAGTAATCGCTCTCAGCCTATGACACCATCTTCTAAGACTGGCCACAGAATTTGATTTATTTGCAAGAGCGACACATTCATAAAAGGAAACAACTTTCATCCAAAAAAGAGGGCAGGGGCTGTAATCTCTGTGGTAGAGCACCTGCCTGGCACGAATGAACCCCTAGGTTCAATCCCCAGTACTAGGGAGTGGGGCAGGGAAGAACATTAAACAGGCTCTGCAGGTTAAGTGCTCGCCATATAAACTTGCCAATCCCAGAACCCAGAACCCATGTAAAGGTGGATATAACTGACTCCTGAGAGTTGTTCTCTGATACGCACACACCTACACTATACACAAACAAATATTTAGGTAGAAAAACAAAACACAAACAAAGAAGATGCCAGCTTGGTGCGATGGTCTATTGTAATTTCATCACCTGGGAGCTGGAGACAGAATCAGGAATCCAAGATCATCCTAGACTCTGTAAGTGAATTCCAGGCCAGCCCTGGCTACACAGCAAGACCTTATTTCAAAAGAACAGCTGTAATCCCTGCACTTGGGAGTCAGAGGCAAGCGGATCACTGAGTTCGAGGCAAGCCCGGTCTACACATCGAGTTCCAGGCTAGCCAGAGCTACATAATGAGACGCTACCTCAAAAAAAAAAAAAAAAAAAAAAAAAAAAAAATCAAACCAAATCAACACACAAACCAAAAGACAACAGGTCTGGGGATGCACCCCGCAATCCCAGCGTTCCCGCTGCAAGTTCTAGGCCGACATGGACTACAGGGTCCGAAGTTTAACACACTCTCAAAACAAAAAGAAGAAAGAAAGAGAGAGAGAGAGAGAAAGAGAAAGAAAAAGAAAAAGAAAAAGAAAAAGGAAAAGGAAAAGGAAAAGGAAAAGGAAAAGGAAAAGAAAAAGAAAAAGAAAAAGAAAAAGAAAATGAAAGAAAACCAAAACCAAACAAGAGCAAAACGCGACTAAGACAGCCTAGCAAGTTGCTTGGACACACAGCTTCTTGTGCCCCGCCCCCGCCATCAAAGTCCCCAATCAGGAGCGAGCCTGCCCGTGACGTCATCTTTCCGCGTCGGAGCGGGCGCGAGCTGCGTTTCCGCCTCTGAACCGTGGCACTGAGGCCATGGGTAGCCAAGAGGTGCTGGGCCAGGCAGCCCGCTTGGCCTCCTCGGGTCTCCTGCTGCAGGTATTCTGCTGTGCCAGCTCCAGCGCGTGGTCCCGCCCCCAAGCCTCGAGGGGAAGCTGTCCTGGGTTCCCCGCGCTACCGGGGGGCGGGGGGTCCATAGGAAACCACGCGGCGGGGAGGGGCGGCGGGTCTAGGAGTTGGGAGACTGCGGTCGGAGTCTTGACTGAATGGCTACAACCATGCTGTTTCCTTCCTGAAGATTGCACTTCATGTAGCAGTAAGAGACAGGTCAATCAAGTGGTAGAAGCAGAGGCTGCTTAGTGCTCAAGAATATGATACTTTAAGGGGTTTGGTTATCAAGCACCTTTCATCAGTTCTGATTCGCATTGAATTTAGAGACCATATGGCATAGCTAAGTACAGGGATCTGGGTTCAGGCAGTACTTGCTGCGTGACCCAGAACAAATCACTTCAGCTCTGAAACCTTAGCTACTTGTTGACAGAATGAGGATAATAGTATCTAATTCAGAAAGCAATTTGCAAGTATTCTTTGCGATCATTTGAATAAGCTCACTTAGTACAGTACCTCTATCCTAGTGTGCACTTAATAAACTTAAAAAAAATTTTCTGTGTGTCCTTGGACAGGCTTTTTGTGACTTTTTTTTTTCTTCTTCAGATAACACTTGCCAGTTCATCTAAATCAGCGGTCCTCAACTAATGGGGTCATGAACCCTTTGGCAAACCTCTATCTCCAAAAATATTTACATTATGATTCATAACAGTAGCAAGATTACAGTTATGAAGTAGCAATGAAAATAATTTTATGGTTGGGGGTCCCTACAACACGAGGAACTGTATTAAAGGGTCGCTGTGTTTGGAAGATTGAGAACTACAGATCCAAATAGTATCTAAAGATTCTTTCTGCCCTAGTAGTCAATTCTTCTAAGTCAAATTCTTCCTTTTTCTCAATGCCTTATTCTCCAGTTTATCTACCCAACTGCACAGGAGTCCAGAATCTTCCTTCACCATTATCTTAGGCACAAAGAGGTTAGGAAAGAGAACCTGGCCAAGTTAGACAGGTTAGATGACTGTTTTTAAGATAAAAATTACTTGGGTTAGGTGCAGTGGCCTTTAATCCCAACACTCAGGAGGTAGGGGTGAGTGGTTCTCTGTGAGTTCAAGGCCAGTTGACCTCCAGCTCAGCTAAGGCTATATGGTGAGACCCTGTCTCAAAAAAAAAAAAAAAAAAAAAAGAAGAAAAGAAAAAGAAAGAAAGAAAGAAAGCTAAAGCAAAATAAAATTGCTCAGCTTCTTCTGAGCATCAGGTTGTTTTTTGTTTGTTTGTTTTTTGAGACAGGATCTCTCTATGCCTCCCTGGCTGTCCTGGAACTCACTGTCTAGACCAGGCTGGCCTTGAACTTGGAGATCTATTCAGCCTCTGCCTCCTGAGTGCTGGGTTTATGGGTGAGTACCACCACTCCTGGCTTTTTATTTTTTTATTTTTATTTTTTATTTTTTTTGAGAAAAGGTATTGCTGTGTAATCTAGGCTGGTATTGAATTCTTGATACTCTTGCTTCCGTTTACACAGTGCTGGTGTGACAGGCATGCACCACCAACCCAGCAGCGTCCTCATTTCCAATGAGAATAGTAATACAACCTCACAGGGTCCTTAGGAAGATAGATGAAGTCCTGTTATGTCCTGGCACATTACAGGGTGCTTCTCAACGTTAGCTACTTCTCTTAGTGTAGTAAGTTTGTGAATGCAGTGTGGGGATGAAATACGGTAAGCTACATAAAGGATATAGAAAACCACTTTGCACACCTATGTGTTGAATATTGGCCACTCTGTTTAACTCCATTTGTTTAGTTCTTTGTTTTCTTTTTCTTTTTTTTCCCCCACTTTGTCAATGTGGTTTTATTGGGTTATGAGACAAACAAAAAAAAAATCCATTATTTCCACATCTTAAATGCTTAAATAATTTACGTCCTTCGAAGTAGCGCCTATTAAGACACAGGTATGAAACACTTCCCAGAGACTTGATTACACTGAGGAGAAAATGATCACCATGTGATTCTGGCTGAAGGCAGGCAGGGGAAAAATCTGCCTGCATAGTGTCCTTGGGATCATTGCATCCTTTTTTTTCCTTTTTATTATTAATGAATTTTCTCTTCTTTTTACATACCAACCCCCTCTCCTCCTGTTCTTTGTTTTCTCATTTCACAGTATACATGACTTCAGTTGTGTTACACATAGTGTTCCCTTTTCCACACAAAAAAGAAACAGGTTATAGAAGACATGCAGGAGTAGGAGTCCAGTGACTTAACTGTAAAATTAAACTGGGCCATTTGTTTGCTGTGTGTTATTAGGCAGACCCTTTCATTCCGTGTTTTGCTTCGGGCACATTTGCCCGGTTGTTGTTTGGTGTTGGGAGTTGAACCTAGAGCCCCACATGTTCTAAGCAAATTTTTATCACTGAGCTGTATTCTCAGCCCTGGTTGGCTTTTGTTGTTTTGCTATTGAGACAGGGTTCACTATTTAGCCCTGGGTAGACTAGAATTCTCTAGGTAGACCAGGCTGGTCTCAGTCTCAAACTCAAAGAGGCTGGCCTAGTTCTTTCTGCCTTGTGAATGCTGGGATTAAAGGTTTGTACCACCATGACTAGCCTGCTTGGTTGTCTTTAAGGGTCAAATAATTAGCAAATGTAAAAGCTTTTATAAATGTGAAGTCCTTTATGAAAGTAAATGGAAGGTATGTTGCTAATAAGGGACACTGGGTGGCCTTAAAACAAAGGGTAGCCCTAGGAACCTTTATTAGACCAAACCTTTATTCAGAACAATTAGAAGATACTGATTTTATCTTTACCATGACCTTAAGTGTCTTGGACAATAATAACTTTCTAAATATACAGGGTTTTTTTTTTTGTTGTTGTTGTCCAAGACAGGGTTTCTCTGTATAGCTTTGGCTGGAACTCACTCTGTAGCCCAGGCTGGCCTTGAACTCACAGAGATCTGCCTGGCTCTGTTTCCCGAGTGCTAGAATTAAAGGCGTGCGCCACCATCGCCTGGCAAATGTACAGTTTGTAATCAGCATATATGTTGTACAAAATGATGGGCTTTATATTTGTATATATGGATTTTTAGAATAGTCATAAAATATAATTCCTTGGTTGTTTTCGTTCAGTCTTATATGCTTCCTTAAGTTATAATGCTGATACTTATGGTAGCTTTGCAACTACATTTTATTATGTTATTTGTGAGTCTTAATTCTGAGCCAGTCACAATGTACATTTTTATTACCTTTAATTTACACATTAAAAATGCTTTCACTTCTATAATCTTATTTTAGTCTTGTAATCAACCTTATGAGATATTTAGCCTCACTTGACAGAGAAGATTGAGGCTTATAAAAATTAGAAGATGATGCATGCATTTAAGAGCTAAGTGATGGGTTGAGACTCAGCTGAGGACTTTAATAAGTCTATGATTTGGTTCCCTGCCACCAGCACTGAGTGTAGATTTTGGTGTATATATATGAACCGACATGTTTCTAAGAGGCTACAGAGCTTCTGTCAGATAGAAAAGATCATCTGTGGCTCCATAAACATGGTGATAATCTTGGCACTGGTAATACTTTAGGAGTAGTGTTAATGGCCCAGAGATTTTCAGACCATAGTAATCCTCTAGTCTACACTGATTGACTTTTCCAAAATGGCAGCCGTGTATATGAGTAACCATGAGCACACTTAACAAATACTGAAATGATTTGTTATTTGTGGCTGGAATGAGGAGAGACCATGCATGGGTGAGACTTACATCCTATTCAACAGCTCCATTTGGGAGCTCCATTTAATTGTAGGTTCTTGTTTTCCTGTGTCTCATGGGAAGGACTCTGTTTAGGTGGCTTTCTTTTCTTTCTTTCTTTCTTTTTTTTTTTTTCTTTTTGCAGCAGGGTTTCTCTGTGTAGCTTAGGCTGTCTGTCCTGGAACTCACTCTGTAGACTAGGCTGGCCTCAAACTCAGAGATCCACCTGCCTCTGCCTCCCAAATGCTGGGATTAAAGGCCTGCGCCACCACTGCCCTGGCCTGCCCTGCCCTGCCCGGCTCTTAGGTGGTTTTCTTTAATGGACAGGTTTGAAAGTCTTAGAATGTGTCCCTGTTAAATGACAATAGCCTGTTTTCCCACTCCCATTTTACATTATCTTATTACTACAATTGTTATTGGAAAGTTGCATCAACTCCTCTCTGAAAAAGGAGTATTCAATAAACATAGTATTTCCTGTGTAACTAAGAAAATCAAATTTCAAAGAGATTAAATGTCCTTGGAATTCCCTAGATATTCCAGGCAGAGAAGAAAGAAATTAGATCCCAGATTTCTAGTGAGCCTTTTCTACTACTCTGTAGGCTCTTGTTTCTGTGTGTTGAGTTTCTAAATAGGATTTGGGAGTGGCCAATCTTCTGACATTGTCATCCAGAAGTGTGTTGGGCAACATCTCTAGCTATCTTGGGACTCCAGTGGCCCATTGGCTGTAGGCTGAGTATATGTCTGGAGAAGGTGTTAGGAAGGGCCCTGGATAATGTGAGCCATGATTGCAGTTGTGTCTGTCTCCTTGACTTTGAGCGTGAAGATTCAATTTGCCCAGATTTCTCTATCTCGTTAGTAAATAAGGGAGACTCCCAAATAGCTTCCTGGGTTCTTTGCCCACTGCTCAGGATGGTGAGAGCCTTGAAGGAATTCCAGTTCACAGAAACCAGGTGAGGTGAGTGAGCATCTTGGAGAAGAGTCTCCACAGCAGAGCTGCAGTGTGTCATCACATCCTGTTGGGAAGGACAGCAACCCGGTCCTCATTTCAGTAAATCCCAACATAACTCATGTATTTTCTTCCAGGTATTGTTTCGATTGATCACCTTTGTCTTGAATGCATTTATTCTCCGCTTCCTGTCAAAGGAGATCGTGGGCATAGTGAATGTCAGGTAAGAGGAACGCACCCTGGCACTGTCCACAGCTCTCCTTACCAATCAGTGTTTCTTAGATTGTACCCGTGTGCCACCCTCAGATTTTAGAATCAAATACCTTTCCCAGGAGCAGAGCCTTTTAGCAGTGGGCTGAAGAGAAGTTCAGGGTGGGGGATGAGAGGGCCCTGCTGTGTTTAATGGACTCATGCAGCGTTTTCCATTAGCAGCCTCCACATGCACATTTCTCCCCCAGCTCTTCCGGTTTTTCTGCTCTTAGAACCCAGGAGAGTGGGAGTAGCTCATTGCAAACCCTGTCTCAGGTATAATCCAGTGTTCTTGTCCTGCTGACAGCACAGGAAGCAAGAATTCTGTAGTTCGTGAGGATGTGCTTCATAATTGCAGGGCTGGAACAGCCAGCCACCTTCGCTTCCTTCCGCCTCAGTGGTTTTGGAGTTGAGATCCGGTAGCTGGGATCGGAGCTTGAATCCTTGTGATTGATTCTGTGGAAAGTGACCTTGTTCTCTCTTAGACTCAGCGTGTGTCTTCTCTGCTCAACGACACCCACATGTACTTTGTCTTCCCAAATGACACAAAAAACGAATGAAATGATGTCTTAGAATAGCTCAGCTTCTCAGGTGTGTCTTCACATCCTGATAAACAAGACAGTATGTTCGAGACAGAATTTCATGCCTGCTATTTACCAACCAAACACTTCACGGCGTTTTTCAAAGAGCCTAATGGCAGTTCTCCAATTTGGGATTGGCAAAGCCGTCACCTGGAGCTTTGTGCTGGGTAGGGGTCACAGTCTCAGGAGACAGTGGTGAAGCAGAGAGAGATGCCGTTTAAAAAGCAGAAAGGAGGGAGCAGAGTTTTCTCCCCCAAACTGCCAGGTTTGCCTAGGCCTCCTTGACAGTCTTGGCCTGCTCTTCCTCACGGTTCAAGGTGCAGCTTTGGCTCCTCACATGCAATGTTGCATGGGCTACTGAGGAGCAGGATGCACCTTAACAGCCTCATCAGGCCACTGGCTGTAGAGGCAGGTAACCCAAGCTGCTTTTCTCTGGGTGCGAGGTACTCAGGCAAGTCCCACTGAACGGGGGTTGCAGCACCCTCTAACGGCTGCCTACTTTGCTGTTTGTCCTGAAACTCTGGCTAGCACCTCCGTGTGATGGAACCTCTGCTTCTCTCACAGAGGCTCCGGTGTCATCAGGAGGTCCCCTTGCTATGTGTGATGATAAGCTGGTTCCTTCCTCCTTATGGCCAGGACCACACCTCTGCCCACAGCCATAAGGCTGCAGACTCTCAGGTCACTGCCACACTTTCCATCTCAGATGTAGCTGTAGACACAATCAAGTGTGCCTTGTTTGGGTCCTCACTCTGCCCTGTGGATTGGACTTGGGGAGGGGTCTCGTAAGAGGCATTGGAGCCCTGCATCCCATCTGTGGTTTGGGGTTTCTTCTGTCTCTTCTGTGGTGCTTTACACATGCTAGTCAAGTGCTGCATGGCTGAGCCATATCCTCAGTCTCCTTTCTACTTTTATTTTGAGATAAGGTCTCACTGAGTTGTTCAGGCTGGACTTGAACTTGTCTTCCTGCCTCAGCCTCCCATGTAGTTGGAATCACAGGCTGGCCATTGGTTTATGACCAGTATCTTTTCTTGTTCCTGTTGTTGGAAAAATCTTAAAGGTTCTTTCAATAACAAATGAAAGACAAGCCTGGCGGTCTTACCAACTCTTCATTTGCTTTGTAGACTAACCCTGCTTTACTCAACAACCGTCTTCCTGGCCAGGGAGGCCTTCCGGAGAGCCTGTCTGAGTGGGGGTGCCCAGCGGGACTGGAGTCAGACCCTCAACCTCCTGTGGCTAACGTGAGTTGTACTTTAGCAAATGACAAGTTCTAAGAACACACATGCCAACCAAGAGTGTTGTAGTGAAATGACAGAGCCTGCCCGAAGCTAACTGTCTCCAGACTGCGTTTGGGGTCCTAATTCTAGCAGCAGGAAGGGAGAGTGTCTGTCTGAGTCGGAGATGTTTCTTACTTGGTCTCCTCTCTGGTAGGGGGTGGGGGTTCAGGGCAGGGCTTGGGGGTTCCTGGCTTCCTGCTCCACTCTTTATTCCTAATCTCTTTGCCCTATAGTTTCTTTTGAGCTTTTAGCAACTACTTTTTTTTTTTTTTTTTCAGCATTTTAAAAGGTCTGGTAAGGCTTTCCTTACACCTTCCTTCAAGTCTTCAGAATGTTCTTGTAGACCAAGTATGTCAGCTGAAAATTAGAATGATTTTCTTCAGTAGATCCCTGCTGAGAGGCTGGCGGTGGAGGTGTTTCCCAATGCCACCCTTGCATAACTCTGTTGCCTCACAGAAATGCCTGTCAGAAGGCTCGGCAAGGGTTCATTTCGTTAGCAAAATGACTGCCAGCTGTGGCGTTATATTTAAGTGCCCTGTGATACACACATGAAATGAGTTCCATGCTGGGGACTCTTGATTATTTGGGGTACTAAAGCCATTTGTATAATGTCTGTCAGCCATTCTAAGCACAGGCAACAAACAGGTTGTTTCTGGAAAATTTCCTTACCAACTTAGTCTAAGCCAGTGGATATAGTGCAGGCTTTGGAGTTAGATCAGGATTGGGTCCCGCTTCTGTTCTTGGCCTAATTACCAGTCCCTTTCAGCCTCGGTTTCCTTCTGAATGGGGATAGTGACTGAGGATCATTGTGAGGTGCAGTGAGATAAAGCGTTCAGTTAGAGAGCCAGGCATGTGGGTGACGCCTGCATTCCCGACTAACAGCTTCCTGTTGTGGAAATTGTTTTTATTGTGACTATTGTTTCCATTCAGTATTACTGTTTTAATGCATTTTTATACATAAGACAGAAGTTTGTGTATTAAAAAACATCTTTTCTATTCTTCTAGGGTCCCCCTGGGTGTATTTTGGTCCTTACTCTTGGGCTGGGTCTGGTTGCAGTTGCTTGAAGTGCCTGATCCAAATGTGGTCCCCTACTATGGAGCAGGAGTGGTGTGCTTTGGCCTCTCAGCAGTCGTGGAACTTGTGGGAGAGCCTTTCTGGGTCTTGGCACAAGCACATATGTTTGTCAAGCTCAAGGTCAGTGAACCTCTTGTGAATGGGGAAGGTGAGCAGTGAGGGAAAGTGTGGGGTTTTGTTGTTATTAGTGACTGTTTTCGGACAGAGTCTCACTCTGTAGCCCTGGCTGGCTTGGAACTCACAGACATCCACCTGCCTGTACCTTCCAAGTGCTGGGATTAAAGGTGTGTGCCAGTATGCCTGGAGCTGCAGTTTGTTTATCTATCTGTTTATTTATTTACTTTTATGTGTATGGGTATTTTGTGTACATGTGTGTCTGTGCACTAGCTGGGTGCCTGGTGCTTCTGGAGGCCAGAAGAGAGGGTTAGTTCCCCTGGAACTGGAGTTACTGACAGTTGTGAGCCACTGTGTGGGTGCTGGGAACTGAACCTGGGTCCTCTGGAAGAGAGGCTAGTGCATTTAACTGCTGAGCCGTTTCTCTAGCCTTCAGATGTGTGATATTTTAAAAAAGCTTTTTATAGGAGAGAATGACTTTTCTAGATTGTAGAGAACTAATTAGAAAAGGGTAACATGGAACATTTGTTATCTTAAGTTTGTCAGATAGGCTATGCTAAAGTTTGTTCCTGCCAACTGAGTCATGATGGTGAACACATACAATCCCAGTACTCCAGAGACTGAGGCAGGAAGATGGTATTATATTCAAGGCTAGTCTGGGCTACATAACAAGATTTTATCTCAAAAACAGGTGGGTGCTAGGGAGGTGATGGTTCAGTCAGTGAAATGCTTGCTGTACAAGAATGAAGACCGGACTTACTGTCCCTTAACCTGTGTTATAAGCCATGCCTGTAATCCCAGCCCTGGAGAGGCAGAGACAGGAGGATCTTAGGTCCTGCTGGCCAGCCAGCCTACCCCATCACTGAGCTTCAGGGCCAGCGAGAGATTCTGTCTCAAAACATAAGGTGGAGGGCCATAGAGGGAGACACCTGACCTTGGTCACTGGTCCCCATGTGCCAACACAATGTACCTGCTGTATACACATACACATATATGGATGCATTGAACACAGACATACAGCCCTGGGGATGGGGGGTTACCTCTATATATTATAAGTGAAAAACAGGTTTTGTAATAAGGAAGATAATAGAATTAAAATTTAGGAGCTCTATAAAATATTTCAGATTTTTTTAGTGATCTTGTTTAGTTGTATGCTAATATTGGTGTTTCTTTTCCTCTTTTAAAATACATTAATTAATGCATAGTAGCATATATATGTATTATATCTTGAGGCATAACATACTGAAGATGAATGAACTACCCACCCATCCCAAGAAATAAAGCATTACTATTGATGCTTATGTCTAAACATGCCCCATGCCCTCTTCCAGGGTAAGCACCATGCTGAGTTCCGTGTTTGCCAGGCCTTTCCTGTCTACTCTTTGATAATATTGCACCTTTACCTCTGTGTGCAGGTGCTTGCTGAGAGCACGTCAGTTATCCTCCGGAGCGTTCTGACAGCTTTTCTGGTGCTGTGGCTGCCTCACTGGGGTCTATACATTTTTTCTCTGGCTCAGGTGAGAATCATGCTTTACTCGGTACATAATCTACATGTCTGTTTTCCCTTCTTGTTCCCACTAGCATGTGTTTTATGCTCACAGTATTCATACTTGCGGGGACAGTTGGAAACGCCAGAATTTTGGCTGGCTACCACCTCTCCAGCTGCTGTATCCATCTTGTTTCACACAGTGGCACCACTAGTGTCCTTAGGGACCTGGGGAGGGTCATACACTTTCCAATTGTCCACATCAAAAACTGCTTTTAGACCTTCTGTGGGCAGGCCCATATCAAACTGATCTTTGATTGTTTAATAGTCTTATGGAGGAGTGGGGGCTGGGTGGGGGTGGGAAACAAGGGGGTGGGGTGGGAATCAAATTGTGTGTGTATTATTTTCCTTGAATTTCAATCAGCGGTTTGCAGAATAGGAGGAAACGCTGCCAAGTGTTTTAAACCTAGATTGAAATCTCCCATAATTCAGAGAGAGTGACTCAAGTCCACGCAAGTACATTTTCCGTTTCAGACATTTTAGCTCCACATTACATTTTAGGTGTAGTCCCTAGTTCTAGCTCTAATACAGATACTGCTAGAGTGAAAATACTGTTTTCAAAAATGAAGCCTAAAGCTGGGCATGGTGGTGCACACCTTTAATCCTAGCACTCAAGAGACAGAGGCAGGCGAATTTCTGTGAGTTCAGTGCCTACATAGAGTTCAAGACTACGTAGAGAGACCTTGTCTCAAAAACCTAAGTAAATAAATAAAATGAAAGTAAAGAAAAATGAAGCCTAAGATCAGATATTCACCATACATCAACAAGACATATAAAGTGGTTTGTAGGTTTTTTATTTTGTTTTGTTTTATTTATTTATTTTTTTGAGACAGAGTCTTGCTGTGTAACCTTGATCTCACAATTTTCCTGGTTTTCGGTTTGTCAGTTTTCCTGTGCTTTGATTTGTTTGTTTGTTTGTAGTTTTTGTTTTGGAGACAGGGTTTCACACTGGCCCAGCCTGGCCTTGAACTCCTACATGAGCCTCAAAACTCCTGGGATTAGAGACATGAACTTCTGTGCCTGGATTTCTGGTTTATGCTTTTATTAGTCTTTGAGAAGACAGGGGAAGATGCTGCTTAGTAATGATTTATTTGACGTTCTTTCCTATGTCCTCTGAGAACTACAGATATTTTTATGGGATACAAAGTAATTATATTTAAAATTAATTAAGAATGAAAATTGCCTACAAAACCAATTTGAAAATAGATCCATAGTTTAGACAAATTATCTGTAGTTATTTTTTTCCTATCTTTTGGGACCTAGAACTATAGTTTTCATCAGTATCCTTGTTTCTACGCGTTCTCTCTAGCAGGATGAAGGGCCTCAGAAACGCTCAATGTGGTTGGCTCTTACTATGGGAAAGGCACTTGGCACTGTGTGTTTCTGATGTCACAGCTCCTACCTATGGTGGGGTCATAGTTCAGCAAAGGAAACTGAAAGTACTTGTTTCCATACCATGAGTCCTGTAGGAGCTGCACAGGACAGTCACTGACAGACGTGTCTGGTCCAGTGACACCACTCATAGCAACACGTGAGCCCTGCCCAGGGCTCTGAGAGTTCCCTTGGCAAACCTGCCTCCAAGGTCTTCCTTAAACTGCAGGTAAAACTCACCTCAGAATAAATAAGAATACTTACTTAACAACAAAGACAAGCCACTCAGCTCAAAACGGGGCAAGAAATTTGAACAGACATTTTCCTAAAGAATATATAAAAATAAATGGGCAACAAAGCACATGAAAAAATGTTTAGGATCAATAATTATTAGGGAAATGCAAATCAAAACCATAGTGAGGGCCTGTCCTGACCTTCAAACCCAGCACTGAGGAGGCAGAAACAGGTGGATCTCTGGGGCTTCAAGGCTGACCTGGTCTTCAGTGTGAGTTCCGTGACAGTCAGGGCTACATAGAGAAAATCTGACTGAAAACAAACAAGTAAATAATAAAGGCCACAGTGTGGTGTCACTTCATAATTACTAGGGTGGGTATTTCTTTTGTTAGGTATAGAATAACAAATGTAGGCAAGGTTGTGGAGAAATTGAAACTAGTGTATTTCTGGTCTATACATAAAATAATGCACTTTCCATGAAAAGCAGTATGATAGTGCCTCTAAAAATTAAACAGATTCTATCATATGACCCAGCATTTCCACTCTTAAGTATGTACACCAAAGAGAATGTTCATAACAGTGTTCACAGTGGCCAAAAGGTAGACACATCCCAAATACCCATCAGCTAATGAACTGGATAAACAAACTTTGCTGTGTCCATACAATGGAATATTATTCAGTTCTAAGAACTGCCTTGCATGATGATGGCCTACGTGTAATCACAGCACTGTGGAGGCAGAGGCAGGAGGACCCTTGCAAGTTTGAGATCAGCCTGGTCTACAGAGTCCCAAGACAGCTAGAGGTCAGTGGTAAGAATAAACAACTGCCGGGTTGTGATGGCGCACGCCTTTAACCCCAGCACTTGGGAGACAGAAGTAGGTGGATCTCTGTGAGTTCGAGGCCAGCCTGGTCTACAGAGTGAGTTCTAGAACAGCCAGGGCTACACAGAGAAACCCTGTCTCAAAAAACAAAACAAGACAAAAAAGAACAAACAACTGCTGATACATTCTACAATGTATATAAACCTTGAAAACACTCTAAGTGAAAGAAGTGGTCAGGGCAGTTATATGATCCCATTGATACATAATGTCCAGGATAGGCAGGTCCACAGGCATGGCAGCTGAGTGGTTGCTATGTGGTGGGGGAATGAGTAGTCATTGCTTCAGAGGTCCATAGTTTGTGTTAAGGAGATGGAATACTAAGGAATTAGATAGTGGTGATTTTATGACAATGTAAGTGTACTACAAGCCACTGAATCCTGTAGTTAAAATGGTGACTTTGATTTTGTAACTTTCTCCTGATGCAAACAGTAGGGAGGATCCTGTGGCTGTGGGACCCTGTCTTCAGAATCCATGGAGAGGTGGAAGAGCGCACTTATAACCAAGGACGTGGGTGTTGGCTGCTGTGGCTCACAGCTACACCGCTTGTCTTCACTGAAGGCTGTGGATCGCAGGCTTCATCCTTGTTTATGGTTGAGAGTAGAGCGCCTAGGAGACCAAGCCCCCCAAACCATGTTCCTCTTTTCCCTACCACATGCCTTTTGACAGGAGGTGCCTTGATGCAGGCAGGTAGAAAGAGGGTCTTGGTGACCCCACTTGTTGATCTGGGGGTGTTGCCATTCCCAGAAGGGAAAGAGGGAAGAAGGGAGCCTCTGACAGGGCCCTTTGGATACTCATTTCCAACCTTCAAACAAAAGCTAGATGGCCCACTTCTGACCAGAATTGATTCTTTTGTCCCAGATGGGTGGAGGGTGAGGTGGACCTTCTTACGACCCCACCTTTTCCTCCTGCAGCTTGAAGCAGCTGTCCCCTGCCAGTGTCCTAGGTGTGGAGGAGACAGCCAATAGCCCAATTCTGCTTTGTAATCATAAATGGCACAGGCTCCACGGTTTATGGGAAACCCAGTCCTAATGATGGCAGATTCCTGGCTGTCAACACATTGAGGACACCTGGAGCCACAGTTTGCTGGGTGGCCATCTGCCATGGTGATTCCGTTCTCCAAGAGTGAAGTGTTTGGAGCCTGGGCACCAAGGTGCTGCCATGGAGCTAGGCTTGAGTTGAGTGCTGTGCTGCTCTCTGGAAAGTGCAGTTAATTAAGACAGTTCTGTTTACCTCGGAGAGAATATTTATAGTCCTGTTGTAATTATGCTTGTATCAAAACAATTTAATTTCAGTCCTTTATTTTCTTGTTTCAGCTTTTCTATACCACAGTTCTGGTGCTCTGCTATGTGATTTATTTAATAAAATTACTGCGTTCCCCAGAATCAACCAAGCAACAGACTCTTCCTGTCTCCAGAATAACACAACTATTACCCAGTATTACAAGAAGCAGAGTGAGTAATGCATTTTTATCTCTTATTGTTTTATTCACAGATGATGGTTATCCTTGAGATAAAGGAACTGCAACTGGCTATTGTTATAGTAGGAAAGATCATTTTACAGGTTGTGTTTACTAAGTCCTTGCCATATTCCAGGTCAGGATTTCCAGACCTCACACTGGTGACTTTGGGGCAGGACATTCTTTGCTATGGGGACTGTTGGGTGCACTGCAGAATGTGACATCCCTGGCCTCTTGATGCCACCCACACTACTCCCCTCCCCCAACCCCCATGCCGTGAAGCACTTAGCGGGGAATCCCCAGAGCCTAAACTACTCCAGGGAGAGAAACCTCGGCTAGGCCCTGTAAATGCTGCACGCACCTCAGGCAGTGCTTGCAGCTGCTCTGCAAGGCTGACATTGTCACTCTCTGGATTGCAGCGTTGAGGAGTTGACACTGAGCACATTAAGTACCTGCCCAAGGTGAGGGCGGAGCGAAATCAGGGCCTGTGGGGTCAGGTTCTTGTGCTCGACTTTTCTGTGCTTTTCCTCTAGTCCTTGTGCGATGACCTCTGGCAGAGGCAGTCCAGAATTCCGAGAATGCCTGGATAACCCCCTCTGGTTATTTTATTGTTGTTGCTGTTTCTCTTTGGACCTTTTGGAGACAAAGTTTTGCTTTTTATCCCATACTAGCCTCAAGCTTGCAATCCTCCTGCCTCAGCCTTCTGAGTGCTCGTATGAAAGATATGAAAGATGCCACGTCTGGCTCGTGGTCACTTTGTTTTGTTTTCTGTTTGTTTTAAATCTCGCTGTGAGGCCAGCGTTTCACATGACTGCTTTCCCATCAGACCAAATGAGAGAACTGGATGCTGGCATGTGGGAACGGAGCATAACCTTGCTCGGCTGTTTGCCGAGTCGTTCCTAGCTCTGTGGGTCAGTGCTGCTGCCTGACCTGGAGCCAGAGCATCTGGTGGACCGTCCATCACACAGCCTTCCCTCAGACACTCCACGCTGAGCACGTGCCTTTTTCTAGCACCTGTTTGCTAGCTTGCTTGTTCGTTTTTAGTAGAAAGGTATCCACTGGACTTCTCTTTTGTGATTATTTGAAAAGGTAGCCAAACGTGGGAATAGAGTCTTAGGAGTCCTGTTATTCAAGTTTTTAAGAAGGACCAGATGGTGTGTGTCAGAGCCAGGTGCTCGCAGTTGTTAACAAGGAGCGCTCTGTACTCATCAGCTGCTCCTGGCAAACCTTCATCAGGGACAGTTTGGGCTGCCATTGTCTCATCTGTGGTATAGATGGTTAGGACTGCAGGTCAGAAGAGTCCCTCCTCCGCCAAGATCTCCCAGTACCCACTGTTCCCTGACCAGCTTTTCATATTGGACCAGCCCCTGTTCTCCAGCATGTTTTGGAACAGAGCAATTGAATTGTTAGTAGCTTCTGTCCATGCCAAGTAAGGGTAATAATGATCCATCCCTTTTAAGGTCTTGAGAGCCTAATGAGATAGGACCTGTACAGGCTTAACGCTGGCCTGGCACAAGTGGGCGTCACCATCTTCACACTGCTGCTCCCAGAGCAGAGGTGGCATGTGGAGCAAGGCTAACGCCGACGGCAATGGCATGAGAGCGTCACCGTTTAACTGGCTGTCCACGCTGAAAGTATCTGCGCCTGTAGTGTTGAGACCGATGCCCCGATTCTGAAATGGCCATCCCGTGTCTGGTGTGATTCAGGACACAGACATCCAGGAAGGGATGTTTCTAGGCCTCAGAGTTTCCTGGAGGTTTGGAGAGCAACAGGGACAGAGCCGAAGCCTGTACTCTGGTTTGGTTTGGTTTGGTTTGGTTTGGTTTGGTTTGGTTTGGTTGAGAGGAGTCTTGTTCTTTTGCCTGGGCTAGTGCTGAACTCTTGGGTTCAAACAATCTTCTTGTCTCATCTTCCCCAAGAACTGGGACTGTGGACTGCCGCCACCCCTGGCTAGAGTCTTTAAAGTGAGACTGTTGGCTTATGTGACTCACGAGGCTCATCTGAAGACTTTAGGCGCTCCGTGAAGTTATTTGAAGTAGGAAAAGAGCCGTTTAAGATGAGCATGATAGCACATGACAGCTACACAAGAAGCTGAGGTGGAAGAATCAAGAGTTCAAGGACTGACTGAGCTGTATAGTGAGTTCGAGACTGCCTAGGCAGTTTAGTGAGACCCTGTCTCAAAATTTAAAAAAAAGGAAAGAGTCTGAGGATATAGCCTAGTATTTATAAGGCCCTGGTTCAGTTCCAAGTAGTGCCAGGAATGGATGAAGGGAGAGAAGGAGAGAGCTTCAGGGAGGGGAGGAAGGAGCAGTCTACAGTAACTGCTCTCGGCCAGCACTGACATGGGTTTTGTGTTACATCTTCAGAAGGTCCCGGGAGATAAGTGCTGTCATCTCCATTTCCAGTGAGAGGAGTTAAGTGGCTGGAACCCCAAACCATGTAGTTGTCTGAATCCACCTCCGTGTAATTGCCCTGTGGGCCAGCTTTGATCTATGTGGTTAACTAGTCTTCCAAAAGAACTGGCCTATTGCTCTTGGTAGTTTTTTATTTATTTAAAGGTTGGGAAGTTCTAGGTAGAAAAATTACTCAGGCTTATTATTTTTAAAGGGGTAAAGAGAAGACTCGTAGGCCAGATGTAGTGGTGTACTCTTTTAATCCCAACATTTGAGAGACAGGTGGATCTCTGTAAGATCAAGGCCAGCCTGGTCTGCATAGTGAGCCCCTGCCTCAAAAACAGTAGCACCAATGACAAGGAGAGAATAGTCTGTACTCATCCCCACGAGCAGCTTGCCTGTGTGTCTCCTTGAGCAGCCCCCTGCACCTGCTCCCGTGTCCATCTGTCCTCACAGTCAGTGCACGATCAGTTTCCTTCCTAGTCTGCAGAATTCCAGTTTCTTTATAGGTATTTAGATTTGTTTGTTTGTTTTCCAAGACAGAGTTTCTCTCTGTAGCCCTGGCTGTCCTGGAACTCACTCTGTAGACCAGGCTGGACTTGAACTCAGAGGTGCGCCTATCTCTGCCTCCTGAGCTAGGGTTAAAGGCGTGTGTCACCACCACCTGGCTTCATTTAGATTTGTGATAAATTAATGGCACCTCAAATGATCACCGCTTTGTATATTCTTTGGCACGTCTGAGTAGCCAGAAAAGACTGCTAATGTTTAAGTAAAGCTGTGGAGTTCACCACAGCAAGCATGTCTTCAGTGTGAGTGCATGCTGAGTGCGCTGTGGTGGAGAGATCTGATACATACTCAGCCAACCACACTGCAAGACCGTGTGCATTTAGTGTCAGAACAGCAGCTCTGGATGCACTGAGAATCCTATCTGGGAGCATTCAGGAAAGGGGCGGGCGGAAGTGAACTGTGTCTGTGTGGTGATATTCAGAACCACAGAAGAAAGGGTGTGCTTAAGCCTGCGCTGTGCCCCTCGCTGGGTCGGGATTGAAAAGACGGGGATAATTGGGGTCCTTGAGTGGACCAGAGAGGGAGAGTGAAGGGAGTAGAGGGTGGCTAGAGATGATGAAGGGGGTGAGCATGGCGTGCAGGGCTAGCACCAGTAGAGTGACCCCAGGAGAGGAGAGTTTGAGTTTAATTTGGGAGCAGTGGAGCTTAACGAAGGTTGTTTTGTTTTAGAGTGGAGAAGGACTTGTTAGTTTTAACTTTTTTAAAGTTGAATTTGTTCTTCAACAGTTTTGTACACATACTTGACTGACCAGGCTCACCCTTTCCCAGATCCCTACTACGCCTGTCTACCTGCCATTTCCTACAGACTCTGTCTCATTCATGACTGAAATGACCATCTTCTCAAGTCACCACACAGACACAGTTCACCTCCACCCACCCCTGCTAAGCTCTAGCTCAAAGTCAGCTTCCTCCAGGAAGCCTTCCTGAATGCTCCCGGATAGGATTCTCAGTGCATCGAGAGCTGCTGTTCTGACACTAAATGCACACGGTCTTGCAGTGTGGTTGGCTGAGTATGTATCAGATCTCTCCACCACAGCGCACTCAGCACGCACTCACACTGAAGACATGCTTGCTGTGGTGAACGCCGCAGCTTTTCATTTTATTTTGTGACCCCCTGAGTTTAGCCACTGTGTGGCCATTGGTTTGGAGTTACCAGTTGGAACTAGGTGGTCTCAGCATTGCGTATACAAGTGGAGACAATGGTTGTCTTTCTCCCAGAATTTTTTTTTGAAACAGGGTCTAATGTAACCCAGCCTAGCTTCTGACTATGCAGCTGAGGATGCCCTTGAATGTAGTAGAATATTTTAAGGTTGTGTTACTTTTGTTTATGTTGCATTGGTTTAACTCTGTGAAGCGGTGTTACTGTGTCTGTCTAACACACCCGACGGTCTTATAAAGAACTGAATGATGGCCATTAGCAAGGCAGGAGAAAGGATATAGAGAAGGAGAAATCTAGGAGGAGAGAGGCCAGCCAGCCAGTTTGCACAGCAGCCACGGAGAAAGAGTAAGACTACAGAAGTCAGAGAACGGGAAAGTCCAGAGGCAAAAGGGAGATGGGAGAATTTAAGTTAAGGAAAGCTGGGTGGAAACTAAGCGAAGCTAAGGCCAGGCATTCATAAGTAATAAGCCTCCGTGTGTGATTTATTTGGGAGCTAGGTGGTGGGCCCCCTAAAAGAGCCAAAAAACAAAACCCTTGAACTTGTGGTTTCTTGTCCTGACTTCCTGAGTGCTGGGTTACCACACCCATCTGAAAGGTTTTTTAATGGTGTCATTTAATAGTATCCTGCTTTTCCCTCATTCAGCCCCTACCAGCTCCACAAAACAGGATTTCTCTCTCTTTTTGAGACAAGGTCTCACTATATATCCAACCTTAAGCTCTTAGTTCCTTTGTGTGTTGTTAGTATTTTACTCTTTTGTTCTTTTGGGGGCCGCCACCCAGCTCCCAAATAAATCACACACGGAGGCTTATGCTTTTTTTTTTTTTTTTTTAAAGATTTATTTATTTATTATGTATACAGCTACAGTGTTCTGTCTGCGTGTATGCCTGCAGGCCAGAAGAGGGCACTAGACCTCATTACCGATGATTGTGAGCCACCATGTGGTTGCTGGGAATTGAACTCAGGACCTCTGGAAGAGCAGCCAGTGCCCTTAACCTCTGAGCCATCTCTCCAGCCCCCATGGAGGCTTATTCTTAATTATGAATGCCCAGCCTTAGCTTGGCTGGTTTTTTTGTTTTGTTTTTTTTGTTTGTTTTTTATTTGTTTTGATTTTTGAGACAGGGTTTCTCTGTGTAGCTCTGGTGCCTTTCCTGGATCTCGCTCTGTAGCCCAGGCTGGCCTCAAACTCACAGAGATCCGCCTGCCTCTGCCTCCCGAGTGCTGGGATGAAAGGCGTGCGCCACCACCGCCCGGCCTGCTTGGCTGGTTTCTTGCCAGCTTTCCTTAACTTAAATTCTCCCGTCTACCTTTTGCCTCGGGGCTTTTCCCGTCCTCTGACTTCTGTAGTCTTACTCTGTGGCTTGCTGGATGGCTGATCCCTGGAGTCCTCTTCCTTCTCTGGCTCCCTCTTTCTTTTTCCTCCTCCCAGATTTCTCCTTCTATTTATCCTCTATGCCGCCAGCCCCGCCTGTCCATTCTCCTGCCTCACTATTGGCCATTCAGCTTTTCATTAGACCATCAGGTGTTTTAGACAGGCACAGTAATACAGCTTCACAGACTTAAACCAATGCAACATAAACAAAAGTAACACCCCTTAAAATAATATCCCCAACACTTGTGCCTCAGAGTTTGAGTGTTGTTGCTGCAGACATGTGCCAGCAGGCCTTGCTAATCTCGCTGGAAGATAGCGCTTACCTCATTTTGCAGGTGACAGCCCCGAGGCTTAGCAAGCTGACCATCTTGCCATGGCCTTTGGGCTAAGTCAAAAAGCAGTTTACACTGCGGGCTCTGAGTGTGGCACCCGAGCCTGAACCTACAGTGTCAAGGGCGGGCTAGAGCAAACGTGGAGGTCAAAGGTCTCGGTGGGAGGCTGAGACCGGGGTTTGGGTAAGCCGTGGAGGGGTAGTCATGAGGTGGCTGAAGATGGGAGGGTGGGCCAGTCTGGGGCAGTCGGGGACCTGTGAGGACTGGGATAGGAGAAAGGGGAAGGGAGAGCGTGTGCTGTATGGTGGAGGTGATGGCGGTGGTCTCTGTGAGGACTGGGGTAGGAGGAGAAAGGGGAAGGGAGAGCGTGTGCTGTATGGTGGAGGTGATGGCGGTGGCCTCGGGCTTCCCAGGGACTTAGCAGTGTGGGAGGGCAACAGCTCATCATCCTGAGTCAGAAATTCGGGAAGGGAAGAATGACTCAGCAGGATGAGCCTGACTCTAAGCCTTTCGTGCAGCTCCTGCCCGTCTTCACCTTTCCCTTTCCAGGCCTCCGTGTGTCCATTAATACAGCAGAGCGGTAGGATGTCTCCTTAGGAGATGTCAGAGAAATTCATGTCTGGCTTAGACCAGAGCTCAACAGTACCAAACAGCTTTATTAAACGGTGTCACCCACCATCCCAAGTGACATAGCCATTCTAAATAAAAGGACGTAAGTCCCAAGAATTTGCTTCCTCTTTTCTTGCACTTAGAGGCCTGAGAACCCAAGCCTCAGAGTGAACTTCCTGCCACCGTGTCCTTAATGAACACTCTGGCTGTAGTAAACAGCGTGGCCATTCCTTCTGAACCACAGGCCAGTTACACTGAAGGCATTACTCTCCCAAGGACTTTCTCCTTTGAAAGCTGAGTCGTTTGGCCAAATGCTTTTACTGTTGACTGGCAAGTAGGCGTCAACGAGAGCATCACAGCAACCAGAGCATCACAGGGTCTGACACAGTGGCTCCGCCTCCAGGCCTAGCATCTGAGAGGATGAGGAGGGGGATGGTTACAAGGTTTGAGGTAGCCAGCCTAGGCTACCCAGGTGAGTGAGTCTGCGGAGGGGGTGGCAGGACCCAAGAGCCCGTGGGCAAGCCTCAGGTTTCCATTGCCCTTGAAAATGGCACAGCTGCCACCGCACAGACCCCTCAGAGGAACACGGAGTGCCAAGGCAGCGGCAGTGTGACCGTGGAGATGCTATGTCCTCCCTTCCCAGAGTCGATCAGGGGCAGAATCTGTTTGAGGATGAGTGGTCCACAGTGCCCTCTCGTGGTGTTAAGTTGTCTGGTACCTTTTGTTTTCAAGAAAGGAAATGGTTGCTCAGTGTTAAACACTGTGTGGCCCAATTTCCTTCTGCCTGGAGAAAGCATGCCTCTGAGGGAGTTTCTAAATCAGGTTAACTGGGGAGAAGGCCCACCTCCAGTGTGTGCAGAACCATCCCATGAGTTGGGATCCTGGACTAAATTGAAAGGAGAAAGAAGCTGAGCATTGGGATTCATTGTTTTTTGCTTCCTGACTGTGGATACAGTGGGACCAGCTGCCTCAACTCCTGCCTCTGCCTTCCTCTCCGTGATGGACTGTCCCCTGGAACTGTCAGCCAGAGTACACCCTCCTTCCTTCCTTAAATCACTCTTGTCAGGCATTTATCAGGGCAGTGAGATCAGTAACTAATCCACAGGCTGAAGTTAAGGTTATCTTGCTACATAACTAGATCCTATTTTGAAAAGCAAAACAAAATGATTTTGTTTCTTTTTCCTGTTTTATGTGGCTGCAGAAAACTAAGCTTTATAGTTCTACTGGGAAGCATTGTTCTAGATTTAACATCTGAGATTCCAGGATGCCTGTGTGACAGAGAAGTGTCCCCACTAGGAACTGAAACCAGTTACTCCATTGTTCACTTTGTAGTCAGCTTTCTGGCCTGAAGGCCCGTAGGTTGATCTTCTGAGTATTTGTCTCCGTACCTTCCTTGTCCTTCAGAAGTGGCGGTGGGAGGCTCCTGGAGGTTTCAGAAGGGGCATAGGTAAAGTTGGGGTTTTGTTGTTGCTGTGGCCATCTTAATGTCTTCTTTCCTCTGCTGTACCACTTCTGAGTGATTTACCCAGGAAGGTGGAGTTTCTTCTGGAACGTGTGAGTGCACCTTATAACTGTGCCAAGGCCTTAAGTGGCTGAACCTGGCCTTAAGATAAGGAATACAGGGGTGGAATTTGTTCTTTAGTTTTGTGTGCTGAAGAACAAGTCTATCTATCTATCTATCTATCTATCTATCTATCTATCTATCTATCTATCTATCTATCTTTATTTTTTTAGGAAAAGTACTGAATATGAACTGTGTTTTGGATGTAGTAGTGTACTGTCTGGACTTTAAAGGCATCCAAAGAGACAGCAAGAATTCTTTAGGGTTCTTCATGTATGATTTAGGCATGCCTAAGACTTTGCCTTCCAATTTTGGAAGTCAGATTTCTGTTAATATAACAAATACCTGAAGTAAATCATAAGGAAAGTTTAGTCTAGTTTTAGTTTGTTTAGAGACAAGGTTTCACTCTGTAGTCTAGCTGGCCTCAAACTCACTCTGTAGCCCAGAGTGGTCTTGGAGGAGGTCAGTCCCTTCTTCTGCCTCCTGATGCTGGGGTTTCAGGAGCCATGACTCCTGTTTGCTTGAGGTTTTTGTTCTGTTTTTTGAGGTAGGGCCCACTTTGTAGTCTAGGCTGGTCTAGAACTCCCTTTACAGCTAAGGCTGGCCTTGAACTCAGAATGTTTCTGCTTCAACCATCTGGGTCCTGAGATTACCAGATGCCTATCCAGCAAGCTTTCCATCCATGACCAGTTGTCCTGCTGCTCTGGACTTGTGTCAAAGCAGCACACAGCGGCGGAAGTGTATGGCTGAGCGAAGCGGTTTCCTCCTGTCTGGGGTGGGAAAGAGGAGAAGGGGCTGGCGTCCCCCAGTGCCCTCCGCAGCACACCCTGGAGGCCTGGCCTTCTCACCGCACACCAGGCTCTGCCACTTCCCAGGTGGTTCTGCTGAGGACCAGGCTTTCAACAAGGCCTTCAGAAACGTTCAAGGTTCAGTTATAGCTGCCGTATAAGTTATGTTCTGGTATGTTCTGGTTCTGTGTGCTTAGCACTGATTATGATTTGATGGGAACTATTGATGTTGGGGCCTTATGGGCCAGAAGTGAGTTTGCCTCTCAGGTAGCTCTTAGCTTTGAAATGCTGGAAATTTTGTTTATGTTTTGTTTTTCTTTTAGGCATTTGTCAATTGGAAAGAGGCTAAATTGACTTGGAGTTTTTTCAAACAGTCTTTCTTGAAGCAGATTTTGACAGAAGGTAAGTAAAGTAAAAGGTCACGTTGAGCAGTTGGGAGATCAGAAAAGAAGCAAAAAGGTCTCACAGGACTGCTGACCCCAGAGCTCTTGTCTGGAGCCCTTGGCAGAGGGCACTTAGACATACGTTGGCTTTAGTTTGTTTTAAATAAAGATAGGGAACCAGTATTTATTTGGCTTTATGTTTTACCCAAGCTGTCTAGTTTTAAATCTCTCCACAGCCTTATCAAAGATACTCCTCCCTCTGTACAGGGATGAGGAAACCAGAGGTCGAGATTTAGAGTCCTGTAGTAACAAAGGATAGCTTAATTGGAATCGAAGTCTGTGTTAGTCAGCTTCCTGTTACTGTAGTGGAACACCTGCGACAATCAACTCAACCCCAGGAAATGGTCAGTCTGGCCCACAGTAACAGTATACGATGGGGATGCTGGTGTATGGAGAGGAGGCTTGCTGGGAAACAGACAGAGGGACAGAGGTTTAATACGTCCTCAGCGGTGTGCTCCAGTGACCTGACTGTCTCCCTACAGTCCCTGCCTTCGGAAGGGGCTCAAAGCTTGAACACATGGGACTTGGAGGAACACGTCACACTCAAATTGCAGCAAAATCTAACTGGAAAAGCCCAAACTATATCATTTAATAAATTTATTATAAAAGTGTTACATCAATGACAAATTTTGAAAATTAGAGAAAAACATAATCTCATTATCATAACCTTTTATACATTTTTTAAACTCTATTAACAGCTGTCTTTCAGCTGGGTGGTGGTGGCACACTCCTTTAATCCCAGCACTCAGGAAGCAGAGGCAGGTGCATCTCTGAGTTCGAGGCCAGCCTGGTCTACAGAACGAGTTTCAGGATAGCCCAGGGATACACAGAGAAACCCTGACTCAGAAAAATAAAACAAAACAAATAAAAAAACTGTCCAGTGTACAGTAGTGAGAGTGTGTATGTCCCCTTCTGCCCCCATGTTTCCTGTGCACTGTCGGGTGCTGAGAACAAAGACAGATAAGCAGTAACTGGCCATGGCCTCCAGATGTTCATTCTCTCACCAAAGCACTGACGTGGCTGTGCTTGGAGATCTTAACTCAGTCAGCACAAGCTCCTTGACGACCCCTCATTTCTTTTAGAGGGCTGTTAGGAAACCGAAGAGGAAAAGAGATGCAGATGTCTGAGAGGGGTGTCCTGCCCCAAGGGAGCTTTCGGGATGTGAAGGAGAGCCTTGTCCTGCCAGAAAACAGGGAGGGGCCTTAAAAATCCATTGTAGGTGGTGAGGATGCCCCAGTCAGTTATAGACTGAACCAGAGCTGCTGAATTGAAACTCAGGCAGGCAGGGGTAACCGAGGATGAAAACACATGGGGGTAAAGCTGGAGAAAGGAGGCCAAAAAGACAGATGGGATTTAGTGTATAAAAAGCCTCGAATGCAGAATTAAGGAGCCTGGACTGGGTTTTGTTTTGTTTTGTGAGACAAGGTTTCTCTGTATAGTTCTGGCCATCCTGGAACTCACTCTGTAGACCAGGCTGGCCTTGAATTTAGAGATTCAACTGCCTCTGCCTCCTGAGTGTTGGGATTAAAGGCATAATCACCACCTCTAGGTTTGAGCCTGGACTTTTGCAAATGCTAATGAGCCATTTGAAGGTGTGAACTCAGGGATTGACAGGGGACTATACAGTTGTATCTTGGTATCAGATTTTGGTTGAGCATCTAAGGATGCTCAAGTCCCTTGTGTAAAATGATGTAATTTTTTGCATATAACTTAGGCATACCCTTCTTTATGCTTTACATCATTTCAGAAGTACTTAATTGTACCTAGTGCAATGCAAGTACTATGTAAAGTTATCATTATACTGTATTATTTAGAGAATAATAATAATAAGCCATATGTGTTCAGTTCAAATGCATTTTTTTCTAAGTGTTTTTGATTTACAGTTAGCTTGATTATTAGAGTCATAAACTCATAGATATGGAGTCTGACTGTATTTACAAAAGCTAGAACTGTTCAAAATAAGGGAGCTGTAGAGCAGCATAGAGATGGAAGCCTGAGAGGACCAATGGGGTTCCCTCTCTCTCACACACAGTTGTTTTTACAGAGAGACAGATCAGAGAGAGGAGTCTCGTGAGAAGATGGGAACCTGACCTTGTAGTGTTTTTCTCTTGAGTTGCCAGGAGGTGAGAACTTGCTCGTTGGGGCTGTGGCCACTGTTTGGTGCTCACTGTTTGGTGCTCACTGTTTGGTGCTGCCTCTATCACGGCCTGGGTGCTTCATTTGTGGAAAAGAAAACTCAAGCCACACAGGATAGTGCACACCTTTAATCCCAGCACTCAGAAGGCAGAAGCAGGTAGATCTCTGAGTTCGAGGCCAGCCTGGTCTACAGACTCCAGGACAGCCAGGGCTACACAGAGAATTCACCCTGGAGAGAGAGAGAGAGAGAGAGAGAGAGAGAGAGAGAGAGAGAGAGAGAGAGAGAGAGAGAACGAGAATGTGGCCTCCTTTAAGTCTTGGAAGTCATTTTCACTATTAATATTTCCACAGTCTCCCCATATTTTATTGTTAATAGGCTGGTTTTGAAATAATTAATTAATTATTAATAATAATTAATTTGGCTTCAAGACTCCGTCAATAAAGGCCTCAGTACTTTCTGAACTGTTGCTATGAGATGGTGTGAAATTCAGTGTTAAGACATTGAACTGATCTTTAATTGGCTATCTAATGTTTCTTAGAGCCAGGCATGGTGGCACACACCTGTAAGTCCAGCATCCAGGAAGGCATGGCAGGAGGTTCTCAAGTTTGAGTCTATTCTTGAACTCAAAAAAAGGGGGGTGGGGGTGGGGAGTGTATTTGTCAATTGGTAGCAGTGATAGATCATAGAGAAAAGGAAAGAAGAAATGGATGTTGCATTTGAAATGCCAATAACTTTGCTTTTCTATTATAGGCGAGCGATATGTGATGACATTTTTGAATGTATTAAACTTTGGCGATCAGGGTAAGATGGAAGTCTATAATGTTTTAATTAAAGATGGATACCACTAATAGATACTAGGTCTTTGATGATGCCCTGTCGTGTGACTTGAGTGGCAGCTGTCAATTTGAGGGCTCAGTGTTGGGCTCATCATAGTCATAAAGATCTGCTCCCGGTTGGTGTGCCTGGATAAGTCTCTCAGGGTTTGTGTTATAGTTATTTTTCAGTGTGATACCAGAGTGATGGAAATAGAAGTAGAGGAAAAGCCAGCTTCGGGTTGATGACTTACTTTCTAAAAGGCTAGTGATAAAAGCACCTTCTCAACTGTATCAAGGGCAGGATCCTGGTTGCAATACTGTACCACAGATTTTGCAAGATGTTACCATTGATATAAGACCTATCATTTCTTCAGCTACATGTAAATATACAGTCTTTCTCCAAATTTACAAACTTTTGCCTGGGGAAGCAGTTTGGTTAGTACAGTGTTGGCCTGGCATTCAGGAATCCCTGAGTTTAATCCTCAGCACTGTGGAAAGTAGGTGTGTGTGTGTGTGTGTGTGTGTGTGTGTGTGTGTGTGTGTGTGTGTGTTGCACACCTATAATCCCAGCACTTGGGAGGTGGAGGTGGGAGATCAGAAGTTCAAGTTTTTCTTGGCTATATAGCGAATTCAAGGCCTGCCTGGGCTACGTGAGACCCTGTATCCAAGAGAGAAAAAGAAAAAGATTAAAGAATTTAAATTAAACATTAAATTAGAAAAAGAATTTTCCTATAGTGCTGTGAAATTAAGAACTAACATGATTATTGTTCTTCCTTTCTGTTTTGTAGGTGTGTATGATATAGTGAATAATCTGGGGTCTCTTGTGGCTAGGCTAATTTTCCAGCCAATAGAGGAGAGTTTTTATATCTTCTTTGCTAAGGTGCTAGAGAGGGAAAAGGATGCCACACACCAGAAGCAGGTAAGGTGGGTCCTCATGTCATCTCAGGGAAGCAATGTGGGGCAGTCAGTTTTCCTTCAGTTCAATCTGACGTTTCCTTCTAGATCTCCTCTTCTATTTTGCTTTGTGTGTATGTGTGTTACGTTGTTTTGTGTGTGTGTGTGTGTGAGTATGTGTGTTTTGTTTTGTTTTGTTTTTCTTTTTCTTTTCTTTTTTCCGAGACAGAGTTTCTCTGTGTAGCTTTGCGCCTTTCCTGGAACTCACTCTGGAGACCAGACTGGCCTCGAACTCACAGAGATCCACCTGGCTCTGCCTCCCAAGTGCTGGGATTAAAGGCATGTGCTGCCACCACCCAGCGTTGTTTTGTTTTTCAAGACAGGATCTTACTATTAGTCCTGGGTGTCCTGGAACTCACTCTGTAGACCAGGCTATCCTCAAACTTGGAGTAACAGAGGATGGTTTTGAACTTCTGAGCCTCCCAAGTGCTGTGATTTCAGACACGTGTCACTATAGATAGTTTGTGCATTGTGAGGATTCAAACTCAGGGCCTTGGACATGGTAGGCAGGCACTCTCCCAACTGAACTAGATCCCCAGCCCTGTAATCACTAAAAATTCTGACTTTAAAAAAATTTTTGGCTCTTTTGTTTTGTTTTGTTTTTTTGTTTTCTCAAGACAGGGTTTCTCTGTAGCCCTGGCTGTCTTGGAACTCACAGAGATCCACCTGCCTCTGCCTCCTGAGTGCTGGGATTAAAGACATGTGCCACCACCACTTGGCCTTAAAAAAAGATTCTAGACTTGATTATTTTATTAATTCACTGTGTGTGAGATGCACGTATGTGGGTATGTAGGTGCTCATGCGGGCACATGGAGAGACCGGAACAGGACGTTAGGTGTCTTCTCTTTGCTTTGCCTTCTTCCTTGAGACTGGGTTTCTCACTGAACCAGGAGCTCCCCCATTTCGACTCGTTCCCAAGTGCTAGGCTTCTAGGCACAGGAAGCCACGCCTGACTTTTTTTTTTTTTAAAACATGGGTGCTGAAGATTTGAACTCAGGGCCTCAGGCCCTCATGCTTGCAGCAAGCACTCTCAGTTGAGGAGCCTTCTCCTCTGCCCTTCTGACTTACTTTGCAATTAAAAGCAATCCAGGTCCACCTCTTCTTACATGTCTTAGAAGATACTTTACATAATGTAATTTATTCCCAGTATATGAAAGTAAGATCTGGTTCGAGGTCTGACTTAGGAATATATCAAAGTGAACATTGACAATAACAGAATTTCCTGTCATCAATCAGAAGCCCAGATCTGACTAGTCTAGGTGAAAATATGAGGATCAAGTGTTTCCAGCAACACTGGAAATTTATCCTGAATGACGTGAAAACTAAGCCTCTCACTTCCCACCTAAAGAGCCCTGGCTTACTTCTCCCTTTCATGTGCTAATTGTCATAAAGACAAATACAGACTTCAGGAGACAGGAGAGCCCCCACTGCAGGAACTGGCCTGCGCAGGGTGCTCTTCAGTTTAGACCCAGCTGACTTCCTTCCCTTCCCCTGGCCAGGAGGATGTTGCTGTGGCTGCTGCGGTTTTGGAGTCCCTCCTCAAGCTGGCTTTGCTAACTGGCCTGACCATTACTGTTTTTGGCTTTGCCTATTCTCAACTGGCTCTGGACATCTATGGAGGAGCCATGCTTAGTTCAGGATCAGGTAGGTGCCAGACTTTGTAAAGGGTTTGTTCTGATTTCTGAATAGAAATAGAAGCAGCTCATGAAATTCAGGCCATGTGCAAACTTGGTCTCCCTATCAATAAACAATCAGTGTGCAATCAACTTGCACCAGGTCTCACTATCAGTAAACAATCAGTGTGCAATCAGCTTGCAGCAGGGTGATCAGTTCTCACCCTCACTTGAAGGAGTGGTGAATCCTCCTTGCCGTGTTTCCTCTAAGTGAGGGAGGAAAGCAGAGTGCGGGCTATGATGGGTCTCTGCTTGGTACTAAATACATCTGAGATAGTAAATGCTGTGACAATCTCAGAGTGTGATGAGTAAAAGCCTTGGAAAGATAACCCAGAATAAAAGTGATCTAGGCAAATAAAATTATATATTTAATCTCTTGACTCTTGGTTTGGGAGGAGAAAAGCATGGACTGTATCTATCATTGAAATACTTGATCGCCAGGCTGCTGAGAATTTCACTACACTTACAGGTCCTTGGAGTTTTTACCCATTTCAACCTATGCTGGGCTCTAGGCTGACCATCCCTTTGCAGTATTGTTTTGTTGTTTTTGTTTTTTTGGTTTTTCAAAACAGGGTTTCTCTGTGTAGTTTTGGTGCCTGTCTTGGAACTTGCTCTGTAGCCCAGGCTGGCCTCAAACTCAGAGATCCACCTGGCTCTGCCTCCCGAGTGCTGGGATTAAAGGCGTGCGCCACTGCCGCCTGGCCCTTTTGCAGTTTTTATCCTGGAATGAGCGGACATGTTTTTACTTTCTCAGATCCCTAGACAAGAACCTGGAAGATTCTCTGCTGCTCTGTCTCACTGTAAAGGGCCTGTCAGTACAATTGTACATTTCCATGTTTCAGTTGCCACAGTGGGGCTCAGACTTTTGGTACTGGGGGGAAAAAAAGGACTATGTTTCTACATCAGAACAGAAGTTGTTAAATTTGAGGAAATGCTTGCTGTGAAGCCTGTGGTATGACTTGTGGCTCCCTGGAGTGTGTGCCTTAAGCGGTACATTTCCATCAGGCAGCTGCTTGGGAGGCCTCATTAAGAAGCCATTAGGAGGTTTATATGCGGAGATAGCAGAGGTAGGGACCCAACTGCTGGATGCTAGCTCTGACCGCTTAGAAAACAGCCTTTGCTTTAACATAGCCACAGGATGTTGCCTAAGTGGGGCCGTCCAGTCATGATCACGCTCCTGTGGTAGAGTAATTCATCCTACAGATATAATTGAACTGCCATCGTTATGTTGCGGCTGCCTCCCGAGTGCTGGGATTAAAGGCACGTGCCACCACACCTGGCTCATTGCCTTTTACCTCTGACCAAGCTGGCACCAGCCAGCACCCTCAAAAGCCCATTTGCTGTCTGGGGAGCATGAGGGTCTGCACAAATTGCCCACTGGGTTTCCCTCTTACCCCATCTCTCTTCTTGTTCTAACTAGTGCTGTGTGTCCAGATGAATTTCTTGTATCAGAAAGCATTCACGTCACTGTTCTTCCCAGCCCAGCCCAGTAATTTTTTTTTTTATCACTTAAGTATTTTCATAATACTTGACATTGCCTAGAAAGGATTCCTGCATTAAGCAGAAAAGAATGTCCTATCTCCATGGTTTGGCCTTATCACTTTATTTATATGTTGCATGTATTGGTTTATTTAGGTACTAGGAATTGAATTCAGGGCTCTGCAGATGCTAAGCAAACACTCTTACCATTCTCAGCCCAAGCTTCATCAGTTCTGGTTTGTTTGGGGCCGTGTGTGTGTGTGTGTGTGTGTGTGTGTGTGTGTGTGTGTGTGTCTGTCTCAGTATCAAACCCAGGGCTTTGTGCATGTTAGACCATTGAGCTAAATTCCCGCAGTAATATCGCTCTAAAAATATAATTTCAGCTGGGTGTGATGGTGCACACCTTTAATTACAGCGATCTGGAGGCAGAAACAGGCTGATCCCTGAGTTTGAGGTCAACTTGGTCTACAGAGCAAGTTCCAGGACAGCCAGGGCTACACAGAGAAACCCTGTCTCAAATACATAAATAAATAAGTTCTTTTCAGGTGCATAAAGTTATACAGCATGTACACTTTTGTGTCTTTTTTTTTTTTTTGGTCTAAAGTTTTTGACATTTGTTAATACATGGATTCTGTTTGTTTTTGAGACAGTCTTGTGATGTATCCTTGACTAGCCTGGAACTCTCTCTGTAGACCAGGCTGACCTAGAGCTCAAAGAGATTTACCTGCCTCTGCCTCCCAAGTGCTAGGGTTAAAGATGTGCACCACAATGCCCAGAACTCTTTTCTTTTTGTTTTTTAAAATAATTTCTTGTTTACATTTTATGTGTATGAATGTTTTGCCTGTGTTATATGCACTGCATGCATGCCTAGTGCCTTTAAAGGCTAGAAGAGGACATAGGATCGTCAGAGTGGATTTGAGACAGTTGCAAGCTACTGTGTGGATGCTGGGAACTGAACCAGGTTCTCTAAAAGAACAACAAATGCTCTTAACTGCTGAGCCATCTCTGCAGCCCCCTTTTTAAAAGTATTCTTGCTGAGAAGTATTACTCTGAATGGAAGGCCCCAGTGTGCTTATCCTTTTTCCTATTGCTGGTCAGTTTGTGTGATTATGAATAAAATCAGTACACATTTTGTGACCATGTGTATTCATTTTTGTTGGATGGATACCTAGGGTGGAATTTCTGGGTTATAGTTTGAATGATCATTTGTTTTATTAGAAATGGCTCATTCAGGAAGCATGGTTTGCATGCTTGAAATACCAATACTCAGGAGGATCATCTTTGCCTACATAAAGAGTTTGAGGTCAGGCTAGAGAGATAGCTCAGCAGTTAAGAGCACTGGCTGCCCTTCTAGAGGTCCTGAGTTCAATTCCCAGCATGGTGGCTCACAGCCATTGGTAATGAGATCTGGCGCCCTCTTCTGGCCTGCAGGGATACATGCAGACAGAACACAATGCATAATAAATAAATAAATCTTAAAAAAAAAAAAAAAAAAAAGAGTTTGAGGTCAGCTATGGCTCCATGAGACACTGTTCCCCAAAATCAAATGACAATGAAAGAAAGGGAGGGAGGGAGGGAGGGAGGGAGGGAGGGAGGAAGGAAAAGAAAAGAAAAGAAAAAAAAGAAAAAGAGAAATTATTTGCTAATTGTTGTTTTATAATAGCCCTCTGAAAAGAGAGGAATCATCTCATGATAAAGCTTCTAGTCTTTGGTCTGTAATTTTAAAAAATGACGTGTGTGTGTGTGTGTGTGTGTGTGTGTGTGTGTGTGTACGTGTACTGGTGCCACACATATGTGGAAGTCAGGACAGCTTGCAGGAGTGAGTTCTCTTCTTCCACTGTGTGGGCCCCAGGGATCAAATTTAGGTAATCAGTCTTGACAGCAAGCACCCTACCCACTGAGCCATCCCACTGGCCTCCGTCAGCAAGATCCTTGAAAATATATTGCTGGATATGACCCCGTACCACTGGGGGCTCCACCGTACCGTGGATGGGGAAGGTTCTGTCTCAGGAGTTTGCTGCTGGTCCTGGGCCTGGCTCTTCCCAAAGGCTGTTTGCAGCCTGCTCAATGGAGCTTTTCTTAATACATACTGGTGTCTTCAGTGCTTAAACCCACAAGCTGTGCTGATGGAAAATGTTCAGTTCTGCTTGGTGGCCAGATAAGCTTTCAGTTGTTGATCATGAGAGCAGTGCATTTATTCTTCACTGGCCTTCCGATTTTATCTGAGTATTGTAGTCAGTGCCGTGAGATACTGAGAGTCCTCAGGTGGGCATGCAGTCTCCCATTGATACCATCACGTGCCCTGACCTAATTCTCTGAACACGTGTTGGAGCTAAGGGTGCATCCCATTTGACTCTGGAATCTCAGTGGATTATTTCTTTGTAGGTCCTGTGTTGATGCGGTCCTATTGTCTCTATGTCCTCCTGCTTGCAATCAATGGTGTGACTGAGTGTTTCACATTTGCTGCCATGAGCAAGGAGGAGGTTGACAGGTGAGTGATGTAGAAAGTACACCTTTAATCGTGGCTTTTGGACAAAATGAAGTAACTTGCTCATCTTTTTCTTTTTATTCTGAGCATGGATTTGGCTACACTTTTCTCAGAGGCCACACTACACTACTAGTTGGCACCTCCCTAGGACCACCACTGCCCCAGCACAGTTTACCTAGTGTTTCCCACAGTGAGGCTAGGAGGCCAATATTCTGCTTCCTTTAATGGGGGCTGGCTGTCACCCTGGGAGAGTTGTGTTTGTTAGGTGTGCAGACAGCCTTAGGGAAAGCTAGTCTTCATTCCACTGCATCCCTGCTCGGATCCCTAAGAATGGGCCTCAGCTCCAGGGGGTTACTTGGTTACTTTGCTTTTTCAAGAAGCAAATTCTTAGGGGCTAGAGAGATTGTTCGGTGGTTAAGAGCACTGGCTGTTTTTCAAGAGATCCAGGTTCAAATCCCAGCTAACAATTATTAGTGAAATTATTTTGGCCACTCCACATAGTTAAAAGGGTATTTATTTAATGGCATAACTCACAAATTAATAGGTAGGTCGCAGGATCTCGGGAAGGTGTATCGCAGTCCAGCAGTGTTCTCTGGAGCTCTGCTCAGTCAACCTCCACCATTCAGCGTTAATTTTGTTATACTGTATATATATATATATATATATTTCTATTCTTGTTTGAGGTATTATGTTTATGTAACTCATTTAAAATTATAATGGATAATTAAAAAATAGATTAATAATTAGTCATCTATGATAATCATATTTGTAGCCATGTTAGTTAAGTCTTCTAGGTATACATAGATATATTTGAGATAGATAGGTAATCTTCAAACAC